AACATGAGCTGGAGGAGCTAGCGAGGCACTGCTCTGGTTCAAATACCAGATTCTCATGTTTCTTACAAAACTTCATAGATTTTCTTGAATAAATGTTCTTTATTTGCTGTTTGCCTTTAGGACCATTTCCAGTGGCTTTAAATATTGGTAATTAAATAATTTTCACCAGTTTTATTGAGGAGTATGTCAACAGAGCTTCTGTCATGGTTACACCATCCTAATTTGGGATAAATAGTCTTTCAGCATGAACTTTTATTATTTCTTGAACAGGCGTTAGACTCCGTTTAGTGTTTGCTACAGCTGTGGGTGCTGGAGGCTTCAATACCCTGTGGTGTCCTTGTGCTTTTCTCCCTGGTGTGATGAGCCAGCCCCATAAGCTCATTCTGAAGTAGACTCTGTGCCTTGCAGCTCTGTTTGAATCCACTGATTTTATCCTGGGCCCTGCTGATGTGGTGTCAGGTATTTGGGAGAGAAAATGTCCTATTATGTTATGCATGTTTTGGTGTTAAGAAAATCCACAGACTATGAATTCAGAAGAGGGTTTTAACTTTTATGTTTCCTCCCCTTTTGTCAGAGAGGAAACGTGAAGGGTCTGGGAGTTGTCTGTTTGTACTTCCCCAATCACATAAGGCTTTAGCAGATTAGTTTCCTTTGAGGGATGGTTTATGTTATGAATAAAATACTCTGTATATAAAAATATTTCCCCCATTTCCTGCATGAAACATGCAGCATTTTTTTCTGGTCTTCACTATGAGAACCTAGTTGAGCTCCTGAAGAAAAAACTCATAAATTGTCCAGGGCCCCTAAAGCTGGCCCCACCTACAGTTTTAACTTTCAAGGTGATCCATACTGTGCCTCCAAAATTCATCTCTTACATTTTCTATGTTCTTAGAGGATGATGGCTCCAGTCATTTCTTCTCCTGGTGTGTGGTTATTCTCCATATTTGCTGTCTTTCATTTTGGGGGCATTGGTTTGTCACGTAACCTCAAGTTTCTCATGAATCTAAGACGAAGTATTCCTTCTCAAGTTGTGTAGCATTTTTCTTGTTCAGAAGACGAGAACGATCTCACTTCAGGCTCTTTACATGTTGAAACAGAGACCAACCATTCATTTGAGTTGCTCTGTATTTTTCCCCTGTGAGACTATACTATTTTCATTTATTGATTCTATTGCTAGTGACTGTGTGTTCTTTTCAGTGTTTTTCTTTTGTGACCAGTGCATTTAAAAACATCATACTGGGAGCTCTGCCTTTGGTTATCTTATCCTCATCTTCTAAAAATGAAAACTTGTTCATCACACGAAAGACATTTATCTGTTACCTTACGTTTTATCATAGCGCTTTTGGGGGCAAGATTAACACCCTACCTAAAATGGGATTGCATGTCAAGACTGATGTTACTGCATGCATCAAGTGAATAGAAAAATGTTTACTATTCACAGGTACTTTTTAAGGAGAGTAGAACAAGGGTAAGCTGGTTCAAGTGGCCTGTGCAAAAAAGAATGGGCTGGACCTTTAAGGTGTGTACAGGGAAATGGAGCAGGTTTTTAAGGTTTGACCCTCTGACAAATGACACAAAAGGAAAAGGAGTGTGTGTCCTCCTCCATAACATTACACCCCTCTCTTTGACTACAGGTGTAATCCTGCAAAATACTGGCAAAAGTGCATTGAAAAAAACTGTAATTTAAGTTTTTGGTATTAAGGATGAATGAGACATTAGTCTCATGACAAAAATTATAACTATGAAAGAATAAAAAATATAATAAATGCCTGAGAAAAACATACTTTAACTTGTATGCACATGATAATACTGACTCATAATGTATAGTGAATAAATGAAACTGCAGTTTATCTGAAAATCTACAATTAGAATGAGATATTTTACTGTATTCTCTGAAGAAACTAAAAAAAATCGTTAGCAGGAGGGCTTATAAAACAGTTGATAAAATATTTCTATGAAAGAACTACAGAAATGTTTGTTTCACAAAAAAATGAACATACTTTTAATCACATATAATCAAAAATAATTGAAAACATATTGAGGCATTACATTCAGCTACAAGTAACAGGAAACACAGTCTTCCTGACATGAGGAAGGAGATTATTCTTGTATGGAAGGATTAGGTCGAGGCACAATGCAGAAGAGAAACAAAGTCCAATGTTGTTTTTTTTTTTTGATAGCACTATTGTGGGTGTCATCGGGAATAAGGAAAATATAGTCACCAGCACTATTAACAGCATAAGGTGTTTCGTGTACAAATTAAGCCTTATACAGATATAATCTAGAGAAGAGGGGAATCAGAATACGCCCAATCATGAAAGTCTGAATTGCTTTCCTGGTGAACACAAGAAGGCTAACTGAAAAATCCGAGTCTCATGTATCTTTGATGTAGAACTTATAAGACATCGTTGGAAACCTACACCTCTAAGAAAATGGAAATCAGACTTGGTGGTTGTTTTGAAGATAGTCTTGACTGGAAGAGCAAGGAATTTGTAAAATAGGTGGAACATGATTTCCTCCAAGATCCTATGTATTTGTCTTCTCCCTCTATGGTGGTCCCAAAACCTAATCCCTTCTTTGCTTATGACTTCAAAAGGTCATGCAAGTGAGGCCATTGGTGAATTCAAATATGGAACCATAAAAGGGATGGATAATGGAGAATCTAGTTTCAAATATTGCTCACAGAGAGGACATCTCCAACTCCTTATTTTTTTGTCCTATCTCATGGCTCTCTTCTTAATTCAAGGCCTAGTCACCAAGTTTCAGTTAGAAGGAAGGACACTGAGGAAAGGGCCAAATATGAAAATAACAAGTCACATGAAATGATACTCTTTGATAAACACACCATAGAGAAAAATGTATTTCAACTGTTTAATGCCACGGAAAATGGAAAAAAGATCTACGACCCCAAACAAGGAGTTTCTCAGTAAGAAAAGGCAGAAGATACACAATGGAGTAGGGATATCCAGGAATTCTCACATGGCCAGTAGGAAAATCCTAACATATACCGAATTGTCATTTTTCAGTAGCCCCTTAACACAGAAATGAAACACTGTAAAAATATTAAATCTAACTGCACATTAGAAATACATTTCAATTCACCCATGAATCCAACAGGCTTAAAAATGGACAGAGAAAATATGATTGATTTAAGGAAAAATCACTACCCATTAATCTTATCTTCCATTGTTGAAAGATGACTTGAAGAATTTTCTCACCTCAATATTCATTTCTGAGGGGCTGGCCCCGTGGCCGAGTGGTTAAGTTCGCGCGCTCCGCTGCAGGCGGCCCAGTGTTTCATTGGTTCGAATCCTGGGCACGGACATGGCACTGCTCATCAGACCACGCTGAGGCAGCGTCCCACATGCTACAACTAGAAGGACCCACAATGAAGAATATACACCTATGTACCGGGGGGCTTTGGGGAGAAAAAGGAAATAATAAAATCTTAAAAAAAAAAAAATATTCATTTCTGAATGTAACTTGTAGAAATCCATAGTCCAAAGATGTACTTTAAGAAAGAAGCTTCATAAACCAATATATTTACAACTTTCATAACAACTCTTTCATGTTGAAAATTTTGCCAGAATATTATTCATGCATTTATTCCCACCAAGCTTTCCCAGTCACTAACATTGATATTTCTCATAGGTAGGATTTTTCATAGTTCAGTACGTGGGCCAATAGAAGTCTTTCCTACATTGTTTACATTCAAGAGGTTTTATCCAGTGAGTCCTTTCATGCCTTCAGAAAGAACTCAGATGACAGAAGGTTTTCCCACATTTCTTCACATTTATATGGTTTTCTTCCAGTGTGCACACTCACGTGTCTTCAAAAGTATGTGTGACAAATGAAGGATTTCCCTCATGCCTCACATTCACAAGGTTTCTCTCCAGTATTACTTCTTTCACGTACTTGAAAATAACTGGAACAAATGAAGGCTTTCCCACATATTTTACACTCATAGGGCTTCCAGTCTGAATTCTTTCATGTATTTCAAATAAACTGGGATAAATGAAAGCTTTCCATATTCTTTACGTTTATAAGGTGTATTTCCAGTATGCGTTTTCATGTATGATCAAATACCTGATGGATGACAAAAGGCTCTCCCACATTCTTTACATTCATGGGGTTTCTCCCCAGTAGGAGTTCTTTCAAGGTTTCAGAGAGAACTGGGAATACTGAAGGCTTTGTAGCACTTTTTACAATTCATAAAATTTCTCTCCTGTATGAGTTCTTTCATGCTTTTTAAAATAGTATCTGATGACTTTTCCACGTTTCCATTGATAGAGTTTCTCTGCAGAGTGGGCTCTTCCATGTATTTGAAGGGAACTGGAACAAGTGAAGCCTTTCCCAGATTCCATAGCTGTTTAAGGAGCACATGATAATATGTGTGTTATCATCTGTCTTTGAAGCGTTTTGAGCCACATTCTTTGTTTGTAGGTTTTTTGTCTATTATGATTTCTTTCATGTTTCTCAAAAAATTAGAGCTCACTGAAGGCATTTCCACATACCTTACACTTATGTGTCTTCTCTCGATATTTTTGAAACTCACATGGCTTGTGTCCAGTGTGACACCTGATGTGCCTATAAAGGGATGAATGATGTGTAAAGACTTTTGCACATGCACTGCTTCATTCATGTGGCTTCACTCCAGTAGTTTTCCTGTTCAAACTGAGACTTGGAATAAAGCTGAAGTTTTCTGCACATTGAACTTCCTCTTTACTTTCACAGAGTCTCACTACCATGTGACTTCTGTAAAAAATGAGGATCACATAATTGATGATTTCTTTATTAATGATTTTTTATCATATTTATTACGATTTATAGGAAAACTTTAGGTTTTCTGCCTTGACTGAATTCTCTGAAATTGAATATACTGAATGACTTCCCAGAGGAGTTTACCCTTGAACTACTTTACAAACATTGAATTTCTATGTCATATTTTAAAAAATACTTTTGGTGAAATGTTCCAAGAATAAATATATTTGAAACAGGGGTTGTTTTGTTTGCTGGTTTTTAAAATTTCTTAATACACTAGGATTCTCACATGAGACACTGCTCTCTACTGTGAGTGTGACTCACCTTAGGTTTCTACCCCGATTTCTGTACCGATCTTCAACATCATGATCTTCCCATTTTTTCCTAAAATTCAGACCCAGAATAATGATTCCAAAGTATTAGAAATTATAGAAAAGTTATTAGATTCTAGGTTCATGATGAGCTGTGACCATGCCCAGTTTATCCAACATCCTCCCTTTCCACATTCCATGTCTTGGAACAACATTGATGAACTAGAAACACTTGTTTTCTAATTGAAACAGTGAATGCAAATTGTCATTGTTACCCATTGAGGCCAGGTCATGACAGTTTCCTGCATAATACCTCCATGAAGTTTCTTCTGTGGAGAATCGAGGAAAGCCCACTCCTCCAGGATGAAGTTCACAAGCAAATCCTCAATGGCCACTGAGTCCTAAAAAATGTCAAATATGTGTGCAGCAGGATGCATGAAACTGACAGCACTAGACATCTATTCACCATTTATAGGAAGGTTATGATGATTCTCTCATCTCCAAACATTTGTTCTATGACTTGATCATCAGAAACTTACTCTCTGTCCACACTTACTTTCTCATAAATTTAACACCATCATTAAAACATGAAAATTATTTACATACTTTTACTCTGATGACATTACATCTTATTTCTCTCTAATGTCAGGATCCAGAGCATGTTAGGAAATGACAGAAATGCTATGCAAATAAAAAATTATCATTTTTAAGACCATCGTTAATCTGTGAGAAACATTCTTTCATCTTCTTCCTCATTACTCACCATCTACAGCATTCCATGTGGCAGAGGGTTAAATCTACATGAGATTGTGAGAAGTAAAAACATAGTGAAGAACAGTAATCGTTTTATTCTATGCCCATCACCAAACATGAGAGTCCAGGAGGCCTGTGGAAATCAAGCTTTCATCAAAGGCAGCTCAGCATATCATCCTAAAGTACTCCAGGCCACTACAAGTAATCAAAAGCCACTGACCGAATACAAATATTTCAGTCAAGAAGCATTTTTAACATGTATAATATTTATCACAGACTCAGTTCTTTCTTTCTCTGTGTGATTTGATGGGTCTAGAAAGTTATTTGGAACTTAGAGCTCAGACATGAGGAAGAAGACTAAAACCCCTATACTCATGTGGCTCAGAACTCCTTACAGCCAAATTTTAGAACACACAGTGAGATAATAATGTGCCATAGGAACTTTTTCTGGTCAAATCTAAACAGTGTACCCTGGGCTTTGTTGTCTCTGAGGAACAGGTTCAGAGCTGCAGATTGCAAGGGAAGTCACTGAAGCACACAAAGGTTTGATGGTCAGTTAGTCAGGATTATAGAATACGTAAAATATTCAACAGTGCTTTCCTCCAGGAAAACCTAAAATCTCCTTTCTCGAACTTCCAGAGGAAGTGTTTCCTCACCAGCCACTCTAGATGATGCCCTGCCAACTTCTGATCCAGCACTTAAGGAACTAGAGATTGTCATTCTTGATCTCACAAGAAGAAAATGAACAAACGTGAAATGAACAACTCTTCTTAGAGCCATGAGAGCCTGGGGGTCATAGGGCAAACTGGTATCTTCAAAATTTGGAAAGAGAAAAGAAAGACAGCATTTTGAAATATGCTCCAAATATTCAGTTCTTAACAAGGCCTGTACTCAAAAAAAATCTATTTTACCAGAGTCTAATGCAAAGACAAGAAAGACAGAATGCAATATTTATGAAGCCTAGAACAACCTTCTCTAATGGTAGGTTCAAAATACACATAATGGGGATACATGAAGGAAAAGAGACAGAAAGAAAGAGAAGTAGTAACTAATTATCACTGAAATTTTCTAAAATTAATAATAGATGACACCTGTACATCAAGGAAGCTAGAAACAAGTAAACACAAAAAACAATAAAAATGTGCCCCCATGTATGTCATCTTTAAATGAGAGAAAAGTCTAGGGCAAAGTGAATACAATGAAAGAAACTGGAGGGGAAAACAGACCTCAAGTATAGAAAAACAAAGATTAGAATTAAAATTAGACTTCTTTTTGGAAACCATGGCATCCAGAACAGAGTGGAGTAAAAGATTTAAAATTTTTAAATTATAAACACTCTCCCCTAGAATTCTGTGTCAAGCAAAATTATCATTCAAATAAGAGTTTTCTGAGACAAAAATGGAGGGAATTTGTCTTTAGTACCCATATCGTGAAGAAAACATTCAAAAATCCATCAGAAAGAATGTAATGATAAAGGTGCAGGATTAGAAAATGAATAAATGAAGGTAAAATATCTTTGGTATTTCTTATCATAATTAATATAACATATGACACTTAAAAAACAATATTAGCAGCAATGTATTTGGTAATGATAAACTTATGTATAATTGAAATAAATGATGTCAGGAAGGGAGTGGCCTTCTGTTTATTAAATACTTTTTAAAAATGTAACCAAGGTGTCAGGACCTCATACTATGTGTAGGGTAGTGGCCCATCCATTGTTTGTGAGCCCCTTTATTCGATGTATGTGTGTCCTGAATGTCAAATGAATGTCCACAAAGGAGAATGTGGTTAATGTAACATCACACCTGGGCCCCTGGTGCAAGGTAGATGCAGTTCAGGTTTTGCCCACACAGACTGTGCAGTGGCAATGGTGCTGAGGTTCCCCGAGGGTAACCAGGGACAGGCACACCTTGGAGATACTGTGGGTTGGGTTCCAGACCACCACATAAAGCAAATGTTGCAATAAAGCAAGTCACTCAAATTTTTGGGTTTCTCAGTGCAAACGAAAGTTATGTTTAGGGGCTACAGCATCAGGAAAGACTAAAGATTAGATGGTAAGAAGAAAAAATAGAAGCCATGTTTCAAAGACCTGTATGACAGGTTCCTCATCAGTGTGTAAGACATGAGTCTTTAGCAGCTAGCAGCTTGATTCTCAGAGGATCTAGGGATCCTGTGCAGTCAATTGGATGAGTAGGTGAGGACCCTGTCCTGAGACAGGTGGAAGGAAAAGGCCCAGTGACAATATCTTCTCTAGGAACAAATGAGGTGAGGTGAGGAGGAGAGAGTGAAGCACAGCAAATGGGTGATGTCAGTCAAGACAACACGGCACAGAACTTCAGTATCCGGCCAGGCCTTGGAGACATGGCAGATGTGAAAAAGGGTCTCAAACTGACATGGAAGGAAAAGTAGACTGGTGAATACAAGGATAAGAGTAATGTGAGGTGACAAGCAACAACAACCAGAGCTGATAACATTCTATTTCTGAGAGACCAGACAAAAGAGAAGGCACGGAGTGGACGATCTTCTTTGGCCTTTGTTTGCTACAGTCTCATATGCAAATCATGTGTAGGCTTTACAGATTCTAAGGACAAGAATTAAAATACTCTTGTACATAAAAAAGTTATATTTACATAATCCTCTAGTCTATTAACTGTGCAATAACATTATCTCTAAAAAAACCCCATATATTCCTTAATTAAAAAGTGCTTTATTGGAGGTGGGTGGAGCAAAATGGCGGGGTGAGCTGACCCGGGATTCTCTCCGGTCCAAAATACAACAAAAGATTGGAAAAACTGAATTTCAGAGAATAAATCTAATGCCAACACGTTAGAGACCTACAATACCAAGAAGGCAGAGATCATAAACCTTACTTATGGCCCTGGAGGCGCTGGAACAGTAGGAGAGAACATCACTCCCTCCCCTAGAGTCTGCGATCGCTGCTGCGCGGGTTGGGAAGGAGCTGGGGAGGGGCTGCGTGACCAGGGATCATCCAGGACTCCTGCTGCTGGTTCAGTGGAAACTCGCTGATGGGGGGAAAGCTTCTGTCAGCGGGGACCCCATAAACCCAGGGCCACGGGAGACCAGAGAACAGAACTGATCTGAATCCAGATCGGCACGCGAGAATAGCAGCCCCTCCCTCCCAGGCAAAGCCACTGGGCGCAGCCATCTTGCCCAAAGGCGGAGAGCTCATAACACGTGGCTCTTGACACCCATCTAGTGGCCACAGGCTGTAACTGCAACCGAATTCTACCACCATGTGAAAAAACCACTCCTCTACCATCCAGCAATTTATAAAAGCCCCAGACCAGAAGGAAAAGAATAAAAACATAGAATTAAGTCCTGAGGACTTGGAATTAGGTAAACTAAGTGATAATGAGTTCAGAGCAGCTATAATCAAAAAACTCAATGAGGTAGAGAGAAAGATAGAGAAACAAGCCAAGTTCTGGAGTTACTTCACAAAAGAGATTGAAATCATAAAGAAGAATCAAACAGAATTACTAGAGGTGAAAAACACAATGGACCAGATAAAACAGAATACGGATTCCCTGAATGCCCGTGTAGACACCATAGAAGAGCAAATTAACATAATTGAAGATAGACAGGCTGAATGGCTCCAGACAGAGGAAGAAAGAGAACTAAGAATTTAAAAAAAGGAGGAAAATCTCCAAGACATAGTGGATTCAATGAGGAGTAACAACATAAGGATCATAGGAATTCCTGAGAACGTGGAAAAGGAAAATGGAGCAGGAATTGTCCTTAACGAAATTATTGAAGAGACCTTCCCAAATCTAGGGATTGACGGAGAAATGTGTGTAGAGGACCCTTTCAGATCTCCTAGACTTGTCAATGTAAAAAGACCTACTGCAAGGCACATAGTAGTAAAATTGGCAAGAAGGAAAGATAAGGAAAGAATCCTCAGGGAAGTAAGAAAAAAGAAGAGAATAACCTATAAAGGAGCCCCTATCAGACTGTCAGCGGATTTCTCTACAGAAACCCTACAAGCTAGGAGAGAATGGAGTGACATATTCAAAGCTTTAAAAGATGAAAATCTTCAGCCAAGAATACTCTATCCAGCAAGAATTTCCTTCAGATATGAGGGAGAAATTAAATCTTTTTCAGACATACGAAAGTTAAGAGAATTTGTAACTAAAAGCCCTCCACTACAAGAAATCCTCAGGAAGGCTCTCATACCTGAAAAAAGAAAAAAGGGAGAAAGGGGTCACAATCCACAGACTTGGGAGACCGATGGATAGAGCCAGAACAGGATAGCAAATATTCAACTATAGCATTAGAGTAAAGGTAAGGAAACTACCAAAGCAAGGACGATCTTAGCACTCTAACTACAAATTCATAACACGAGTTGGAATAAGAAATGAAAATAATTATTTAGGAGGGGAAGACCAAAGGGTCTAAATCAGTATTGGTCAAGTAAGTAAGAGACCACCAGAGAATAGACTATATTATACACGAGATTCTAAATACAAACTTCAAGGTAGACACTAAAATAAAGTACAGAACAGAGTCACAAATCATAGATAAGGAAAAATCTAAGAAACCCAGCATAAGAAATTGCAGTATTAAATGGGTAGTGTAAAGCACACAGGAAAAGAAACACAGGAAAACAAGATAATGAGCGACAGATTGA